TCTTAAGGTTATTTAGATTCTGCAATTTGGTGTTAAAAAGGTAAATGTCCTATTATATATAATATTAAACATCCTATTAGGTAAATGTCCAATTATAAGCTTTGAAATCTTTGAGGTAAAATGTAAATGTCATTGTAAAATGGCTTTAAGCATTATTATTACAGAATATAAAGTGCCCTATATAAGTGCATCAAGAGAGGCATAGTGAATTGGTCATCTGAAACGAAGACATACAAAACATATTCAAAGCAACTTTTTTTTAGTTTGCAAAAAATGTAGGCTGAGGCACATATTTGCAATGAGCCTGGGTTAGCAGTTTGAGCTACTGTACTTTCTATGTAAAATGCGTAAAAAAAAACACTCATTTTTGAAGTTCCTTTTTGTGCTTAGGGGGGTTTGTACGAAGCAGAAAGCAAGTATTATTATAATACAAGTGTTTGAAAAATCACTTCAGAAATTTGAAAATGCATCTATATTTTCTCTTGAATATATTCCGAGCTTCATTGTTAACAGCAGATTGAGCTCTAATCTTTAATCAAACACTCAAATGCTCACGAGGAAGAGCACCTTTGGTTTTAGTAAGCCATGAAAGCGGGCTTTTATATTACAAGATTAATATAAGCACAGCTCACTATGAAGTGTGAACCCTCTTGTAATTCACTTAAACCTTTCCTAATATTATTCGTGATTATTTTACGTTTGAGTGGTATTTGTAAGGAATTAGATGCAAGCAGAATAAGGCTGTTTGTAAAGCAGAAATTGTCATCTGCTGTTAAAATACCAATCCCAGAAACAATTCAAGAGAGATTATTGATGGATTCAGAATCGATATCCCCAATGGTTTTTCGCCACAGCTCAAGTTATGTCTACATAATTATCTACATGATTACATTTTTTTCCACCTCTTATTTTATTTAGTTTCAGTCTCTCACACATTGCATGTTTTTCATGGTCATCTCTGCCGCCAGTGTCTCTAGCCACAAAGTGAATATGTAAAATTCAAAAGATCCATTAAATATTCCTCCTGTCCATTCCACAGCCAGCTTCTTCATCTCTCTATCTGTCATCCACCCTTCCATCTGTCTTTTCCCTATACAGCTTCTTTTACATTTCTTCAGCTCAAGGGTTGCTGGGCGAACGCATCTGTTGCCAATGATAGCAGCCAGAAGGACGTATCCTTTCAAACACATCCCCTCATCATAAGAATTATTTATAACTTCTTTTCTTGCTTTTTTTTTTAAATATATTGTCATAATTTGGACATAACATTACACACAAACAACCGTCACTCTTACTAGTTATCATAGAGCATATACTGTGTATGTTTCAATGACTTAATTATCTCTGTAAATGATGTAAATGTGGATTAGAGTCTTGCGGATTAATGGGATTTGCGTTTTATGATGCTCTGAATCATTTAAGACTCCTCCTGTCAGAGAATTGTTACAATATCCATCTATGGCATCTGAATTTATATATTATTTTTTTACTGCAAATGAATCCCGGCGCTCGAGCAGATGCAGGGAGAGGAGGGTTAAATCTGTGACCTGGATTCACATGACAGGCTTTATTTTGGTCTCTTTCTCCATTTCACTGGCTCTCACAGTTGTTGTTTTCTTTTTCTCTCTTCTTAAAGTGGAGTTTATGTGTGGGTTCTTGTGGAGGTGTTTGGCAGAAAGACAAAGCACATATGCACACATTCATGCACTGTACTGTCATACACTCTGACACACTGTGAACCAGATTCGCTGGACTAAATGCTGCTGGAAATGCTATGTAATCAGTCTGATGTGCTTTACATGACCTCACATACGCACGGCATGTAAAATATGCAGACTTTGTAATTTCCAGAAAAGGCCGTTTGCATGCATGAAGGTGTTAAGCTAGAGCAGAAGAAGAGATGGAGCTTGTCAGTGGTAATTTGTGGCCGGTTAAACACTATCGCTGAGCAGTTAAGCTGTCAGGACTCACACCCGTCAACACTGAGCGCAAGCAACGAGACACAGCAAAATATGCCCTTTATCATGAATGACATTCATATGAGGAGGGTTTGCTCCTGTATCCTTGTCAGTCCTAGGTGTTTAACTTGGTGTATGTTTCAACATACTGTATATAGAGAGACTGATGAGGTTTATTTCATGTTAAAAGCAACTTTTTTCCATACCCTTGAAGCATTAACATTGCAATTATTAGCTTCTCAATAGTGGGGGAAAAGTATTCAACACAGCATTATTTTCTTCTTTTTATTCTTGGAAAAATATTCTAAAGGAGCTGTTGACATGCTATTGAACTAGATTTTGGTTAAAACCCAAACAATACAAACATATATATATATATATATATATATATATATATATATATATATATATATATATATATATATATATATATATATATATATAAATCTGAACAAAGTGTGTAATAAGTGTACTAAGGATATTAAAGTGTAATAAGAATGAAATGACACAAAAATAATGTACTGAACTACTGAAATGCATTGAATACTTTGTATAAAAGGCTTTTTGGGCAGCTTAAAGACGCCTCTCATATGGAGAATGAAGTCACATGAATTGCTCAGGTGTGATCTGTTTTCACAGACTTCAACAGTGTAAAAATCTTGATGGTTCTGTGGGTGTCGTCTATCAAATCTTTATTTTGTATTTTCTATTGGATTCAAGTCAGGTGATTGGCTGGGCCATTCTACAGCTTGTTTTTTTTCTCTAAAATGAGTTTCCTGTGTTTTGGATCATTGTCTTGCTGAAATGTCCACCCTGGTTTCATCTTCATCATCCTGATAATGTAGATGTTGGAATGAAGAAGCTAATATTAATTCACAAAGACGAAGGGCGGAGGGTTGCTGAATAACTACTGAGAGATTTCAGCTGCTGTCTGGGTTTTCACTGCCTATCTACACCTCCCTTTCTTCATGTGTTCAATCCTTTTTTCCTGTCATATATGTGTTTTTTTATGTCATATAAAAGCATATCACCATGTACTACTATTCACGATTTGAATTTATAGCCATCTGAATCTAGAATGTCTTTGTTTTCTTTACTCTTGATCTGCGTGAAAATCCCCAGCCAAATTATCTAGTTTTTTGACAAACACCAAGGTTGGGGGTTGTTTTACTGTAAATGCTGTCTGAATCCGCATCTCTGTTACTAAAGGAGATCATTAAAAAATATCAATTTGTAAATTCTTTTTGGCCACTCAAATGCACACTGTATAAAGTAAACCAGTCTACTCAGTTAAAGTATTTTAATTTTATTCAGATTTCCAGTGCTAGTTTTGGTGTCAAGGTAAATAAATAAATAGTTTGTGTAATTCAGTGTTTTATTAGATTAAACAAGCTGGATGCACTGGTCAGATGTACTACTAGCACACTGTGGACACCTGCTGGTTACAAGACAAATAAAAACAATAAAAATTATAGTTCATCAGTAAAAAAAAAAAAAAAAAAAAACTATTTTTCACCAGTCAGGCCATATTTAAGGATCTCACATACTCTATATCGGAATGCAGTGTGTGGATGATCATGTAAAGGCTGATTTATACTTCTGCGCCAAGCTCGCGCGCATATGCTGCGATGCAGACTTCACGCAGTCACATAGCTCACGCCGTGGCTGCTGCTGATGCTTTTTTTATTTTATTTTATTTTTTTAAGTAACTACACGTGGCAACTACACATATTGCAAGCTCTGTGGAGGAGTTCCAGATGAAGGCTTTTGTTTTGTGTTCACCTTGTGATTAAAATTGTTGCATGTACGCCGGTTCCTGCCTCTGAATGAGCGAGTTTTAGCTACTTGTACATTAAGGTAACGTTCAGAAAAAATAAACCCCTTGTGAAGAAACTCGAGGAATATTTCACTGCCAGCTTGTGCTTCGGAATTGTTATTGCAGAGCAACACAAACAGCATGCCAAAGTGTGGTTTATTTATAAACTAATTTCGAGAGGATCACATGATTATGCTCAACATGGCTGGCACCACATTAGCTCTGTAATCTGCCTAATCCGATGATTACAGATGAATTATTAATAACCAGAGCTTTTCACTCTAGTTATCTTTGTCTTCAAGTTTCCCCCCTACTTCCCCCTCTTTTTTCCCCGATGGTGTGGCTCGGCGGCCCAGTGGCTAGCACTGTTGCCTCACAGCAAGAACGCCGCTGGTCCAGCTTTCTACCAGGCCAGTTGGCATTTCTGTGCGGAGTATGCATGTTCTCCCTGTGTTCACGTGGATTTCCCCTGGGTTTCCTCCCGCCCGTCCAAAGACATAGTCAATTGCCTAATTTAATTATCTAAGATAAACCTTATTTTACACTTTCCACACGGCGACAAGCAAGGGAGTTCTCAAGACCTACCTGAGCTCAAACTCCCTTCTCGCCCTTTTAATGGGAGGGAACCTCGGTCTTGAGTATATTATGAGCTGAGGGCTCTCTCAGTGTGAGAGCTCTTAAGTGTGAACTCTTGAAGTATAAATTTACAACTACTTTAAGTTGAACACTGGTATATTTGTCTCATGCCTTTGTCAGATCACATGAAGAGTTTTTTTTTTGGGGGGGGGGGTGATAGCGAATTCAAAAATGGTAAGTGTAGATTACTTATTTTTCAGTTGATCTCTTTTTACATACAGTAGTTCAAGAATGATGTAATATTCTGTTAGTATGCATTGTGCATTTTGACAGCTAATATTTAACTTAACAGTGTCCTACACACAGTAGCTCATAAATGGTTAAAATTATTTAAGCATATTACCTATTCTACATTTTCCGCGTCGCATCTCACACTTCAACGTACCGTGTCACAGAGCCGCACTGCAGTAACTCACCTCAGCCTCTCTCCCTCAGTCTAAACCCAAAATTCACCCTCCTCCCCTCCCTCTTTCCCTTCTTTCTCATTCTCCAATCCTCTTACCTCGTCATCACCATCTTTTGTACTCTCTCTCTCTCTCTCTCTCGGTGAGAGCGTGCGCTGCTCTGTACAAGAGGGGTGTGCGCGCCGGTGGGCGGGGTTGAGGCGCGTCAATCAGCGGCGCTACAATAGCACGTGTGTCGGTCATGGTCATAGAGCGGCTCGGCGGAGGCGAGGCGACTGCAGCCTGCTGATAGGAGGAAGAGACAGCCAGCGAGCGGTTACCGTCACCTTATCCAACGCTCCACATTCACTACATCCAAAAGCGCCTCTGCAACCCGACCGCCCTTTAATAATGCACGCGGAGCCGAAGCGCGTATCAACCGACCGCCTCTGAATGATGTATCGCACCGGCTACTACAGCACCGCCGCACCGGAGAGCACGAACCTGTAGCTGGCTGATCCGCGGGAGAAAATGTCACACTATCATTTCATCAAATGCTGTGAGTAACGAGCCGCGAGAGAGCCTCCTTTCCTCCATACATGATGTCATTTGTCAGTGATGTCATTTTGCGCGTTTACTGATTGAGCGGCAGGAGGGATTGTGTGTTGTGCAGGGTGTGTATCTGCATGCAGATCAAAATGCATTGGTGATTGATGAATATTAAACCAAAGGCAAACATCCATTCAGTACAGTGTGACTGGACCAGCTGTCAGTGTGATGTGTTGTGCATGTGTGTGTGTGTGTGAAGTTGCAGCAGGATGCGGCATTGGTGTAAAAGTTGACCGGTGCTGATGCTGCTGCTGCAGGTGTGCAGGATCCTCCTCCGGGAGTCTGTCTGCTTTATAGACAGACGGGCAGTGGGTGACAGTCTGACAGCCTCCGCAGGATCCCTCTCTCATGTGTATCTTTGTTTTTGGTAGGCGTGTGGTCGTGAACACGCCTGTACAACAGAAAGTGTCAGGTATGATAATGGAGAATGAGAAGGAAGAGGAGTGTTTTAGACCGAAACGGATGTAGCAGTGGAGGATGGAGATGCTGATGTGGGAGAAGGTGGTAATCAGGAAGCATTTGTGTTGCCAGCTGCAGATGAAAGGCAGTTGTTAAACTCGTCCCTTTGCCATCCCTCTCTTTCATCTTTATTCAGAGTCTAATGCTGCTTCATCTACGTTGCTTTTTTCATTCTGTGTGTGTTTTGCTCATCTGAACACACACCCACACAGCCCTCTGTCGCTTTTAGTGGATTATATTATGCTTTTTCTCTGTTTAGTTAATTTTTTTGGTTGTTTGTTTGTGGCAGTTTCTGTGACATGGGTGTAGGGAACACAGTAGAGATTCTGTAATGTTAGTATTTATGAGCTGTAAATTTTATATGAGGCTTGCTACTCTTGTATCAATATTTAGAGCATGTCTGGGGCTGTTTTTGTGCCAGACAAAAAACAAAAAACAAAGAAAGTGATACAAATAGCTTTGGTTATATTTTTCAGAACATTGAAATGCATTTATGACTTATATTATGGGACATAACCAGGGCCAGATGGAATCTGCTGACATTTTTGCTGTTTCTGTGCAGAATTTTGTTGAAAAGTCTGCGGATTTATGTGGAATGATTTTGAGAGTATCATAACTAAAAACTTAATATATGAAATATATAATAAGTAATGCATTTTTAACTTGTATTTAATGTTTACAATACAAATCCAATTAGATCCACTTTATTTGGTAAACAAAGCAAATATCTCACATAATCTATCTACTAAAAGAGAGAAAATATTACTTTAGAAACTACATTGTAAATAAATCATAAATATAGTCATATTAGTCAGTAATATTACTGAAATTAATAAAAAAAACTGAATAAATATAAATTTACACAATACACAAGTAAATAAACAGACTCAATGGTGAGCTAAATATCTGTGGAATTCTGTGCGCGCAGATTTTGTGTGGGCCTAGACATATCTGACAGCGTTTAAAACATTTTTCTTAGCTAAATAAGATTATTGTACGCGTGTACACATGAGGACATTTTTTACTTCAGAGCTATTGCAGAGCTCTCGGAGTCTAAATTGGTGCCTGGAAATTCTCAGACAAGGAGGTCACATCTTGTCACTTCAGGTCCAATTTTGGTTCATTAAGATCAGTGTTTCTCAACCATGTTCCTGGAGGACCACCGGCTCTGCACATTGTCCATATCTCCTTCACCAAACACACCTGATTTAGATCGCCAGCACATTAGGAGAGACGGAAAGACCTGTAATGGGGGGACAGACAAAGGAGACATACAAAACATGCAGTGTTGGTGGTCCTTCAGTAACGTGGTTGATAAACACTGATTTTAGATGCCTTTGGTCTGTGTTGCATTCATATTTGTTAAACCGCACCAGAGCTTGTCCATAAGTAGATTGAGATGAAACTTTTTAGGGATCTCTGCTTCATAACTCTGCATTTCCTAAGTTTTAAATACAACTGCAATGTGTTTGGTAGTGTTAATTTGGCAATAAGGTTACGTAGATTAGCTTTATTTAACTGTCAATTCTAAATTGTAAGCACAAATACAGGAAAATTAATATGCAAAAGGGTTGAAATGGTTAATTTTTTTAAGAAATGATAATTTTAATGAGCATTGATAATAAGTTTGATTGATTGATTGACTAGTGAGAGCAGTTAATACTCCAGATTGGACATTTCAGTAGGATAGAATAAGTTATTTACAAGAATGAGCTAAATATATATATATAAGTTAATATTTACAAATTTTTAATCCCTTGCAGCTGGAAGGGTATCTGCTGGATAAAACATATGCCAGAGTAGTTGGCGGTTCATTCCACTGTGGTGACCCCTAATAAATCAGGGACTAAGCTGAAGGAAAATTAATTAATTAATTAATTTTCAGTCCCTGGGTGTTCATAACATTGATCTGATTTGGAAGTTTGGTGTCTTTGCACTAACTCCTCTTCATGATACTTGCAAAATTAGTTTGAATTCAGATCTAGTTCTCTGTTTTTAAAATCAAAAAAATATTTCTGCCTCTAATATTTATGATCCAATAAACTCCAATTATATATGTTTCTACTCCGAGTCTGATGCATGCAGGGAAAAGTGCATTGTGCTATCAGTTTCTCCTCTATCTTTTGCTTCTCACCTTTCCGCTTCCTTCCTGTGTGTTTGAGCAGAGATAGGCTTAACTGTGGCCAGTGCCAGAGGCAAACGCTGAGAGAATACGCAAGGTCGCACACTCAGGTGCAAACCCAGCAGAACATTGTATGTGTGTTGCTTTAAAGTATGTTTGTGTGTCGCTCGTGATCTTCTCAGATCCCCCTCAAGGTTTGAAATGTAGTACAGGAGACAAGTGCGTGCTTACGGAAGTCTTCATGTTCAAGTTTGTCTAATCCTATGAGTCTCGTGAGGGGGATTTATTGATATATATATTTTTTATACAAACTCCTTGCAATATCTGTGTATTCATGAACTTGAGTATGTTTGTGTTTGAAAGACAGAGAGTGAGTTCTCTGTCTAATTTATCCTTCTTTATTCCCCGGCTCTTATATTATCAGGAGCTCTAGTGTAAATCAATACCTGACAGCCTGGAAGCGGAGACACAGAAGCTACCCAGTAAATGGAGAAAAGCTCACCCATCTCCTCTCTATCCCATCATTTCTGTCAACCACTGCCTATCGCCATGACTCATTCAGTCACACGAGTGACACATTTTGTAATCAGTCAGAGGTGTCACCAACTCAGCCAGCACCCAACACATATCTGTGAATGTGAATATCAGTGCAAAATGGACTACAACTGATTATAAAAGTTTATAGGTTTATGTATACTATATTAAATCAATGTTAAAAGAGATTTGAGAGACACGTTTATGCATGATATCACTGCATTCAGTTGGTCTGGGAAACAGGACTTAGACCGGTGGTTCTCAGTTTGAGTTATATGAAGCGTTGGAGGATGAGGGTATTCTGTAGGGAACCTTCCAATTGGAACACAGTGCATTCATGAGTACGTCTGTCTCAGGTGTCAGCTTAAACTACGGACCCCCAAAAAAGTAAGCATTCAAAATTATTTTAGGCAGCTCCTTGAAAAGTGGTGGGATAAAACAGGATTATGTTTCCGTTCTCAATGGGACAAAATTTGATCACAGTTTAGGAGAGACATGCAAAATATGCAGAGCATTGGGTTGTGAGAACTGTAATTGAGAGACTGTGACTGGCATTTGCAACAGGACTGGAGAGTTCTGGACCTCGAGATGCAGTTGCCAGCAGAGTTTAGCTCTAAACCTAATCAAATCCTCTAAATGAGTGAATCGATCTCTTCAGGGTTCCTAGAAAGCTGCAGACAGGTGTGTTTAGCTGTGTTCATGTCATGATTACAAGATCCCATCTAGAAAAAAACTGTTCATGTCCTTGTACAACTCGTAAATACAACTTGCCGACTGTACATTTTTCAGAGAGCTATGACTTCAACCATGTGGACATTGTACCCCTTGACCACAATGGTTTCCTTCAGGCTTTATGTTCACAGGAATTGATCATAGCATTGAAGTAAATAATACCAAGTCCTAAGACTTTAACAGCTCAGAGTAAAGATTCACCTTCGAATCTTTGAATCAGGTTTGTTGCAAAACTCTAGTAAAGTGAAAGAAAAACTCAAGTAAAGTGGACCTTGAGGGCCAGAGTTGCCAAGCTCAGGTTTAGGTCTTTGAAAATATTTTAGATCGATTTGGAAGTCATTTTTAGAAGTTATTGACCAGATTTTCTACTTTAAAAAAAATAAAAAAAAGTCTGTTAAATCTGATCTGATCCTGCTGAATTTAGCACCAACTAGCTTCAACATATTTGGCTGTATATTTTTAGTGAATCTGAAAACCTTGATCATGCTGTTCCAGGTGTGTTAAATTTGGATTGGTACTAAACTCTGCAGGATGGAGGCTGTCCAAACAGATTTGGACACTCCTGTCTTTTCACATTGGTCATGGTAGTGTTTGCTATGCAGCAATGTTGACACCAATGTCAGCTCCACCCATGTGACGACAGGGAATGTAGTTTAAAGTGTCAGCCTCAACAACCTTAAGCTCTTGCTGGCTTGTATGTTTCATACGGCTATGGCACACTCTGGAATCGGATATGCGTGTAGACATAGATCGGATGTCCTTGTATCGGATATGTCTCTGATTTAAAACCACATTAGAAAGTGGCTAAGATTGGAAGTAAGATAGGGGTATCCTATCCTGCTTCTGTAAGGTCAACATCCTGTACATTTTGGCTTCAACAGATACAGGATGCCTGCTTGGAATTTTATAATGAGTCTGAAGACCTTGGGTGCTTCACAAAACTCTAATTTCTATGCTCCACTGTCTTCAGATCTGTGTCCTGGAGACTAATCAGATTTTGTGGTTGCATCACAAGGAGGCGAAGAACACTTGGTAGGGAAGTTTCTAGAGAAGCTGTGAGATGAACAGGAAAACTGGAGTGTATTCTATGTGGAAGTTTTTTT